TCTTATTATTATTATTATTATTATTAATATTATTATTATTATTATTATTATTATATTTGTACGTATATATGTATATATGAATAAATCAATAGGTAAACGCAGACAAAATATGTCTGCTACGATACTTTGACTTGTAGGAGACATAGAAATATTTTATAAAATATTAAAATATTTCTATGTCTCCTACAGGTCAAAGTATCGTAGCAGTTTATTTTGTTTCGCGTCTACCTATTGATTTATTCTTACGATGAGACATACGTGGATCCACATCAACATTGTAATTATTATTATCAGGTATCAGGCCAAAATAGAATTAATAGTGGTGTATCTAGAATTTTAGAAATGGCAGTGCTAATGGGGGGTGGGGGCGAAGGTGAAGTGTGGGGGATTGATAATCAGTTGAAGGGCGCTAATTCGCAAAATATGATGATTTTGACTACTTGACCGTGATTTTTTTGGGGGGAAGGTAGGGGGGCACTGAGGGAGCGCGAGTAATTGATAATTAATAAAATAAGTTGTGTCGCCACTCTGATGACGTTCTTATATGGACTAACACAGTGTGTGGTGTGCTGCATGATCCTACGTAACAAAGTACCCGTTCTGCATTATCTGTCTACAATCTGATTTGCTCAGATTACATTAACAGTGGTACTTTTGAAGAGAGTTGTTCCTGACAAGTGTTCACATGTTTGTCGCTAAATGTATTTCCATGTGGTCGGCTATCAAACTACATATTTTTTTTCTCTCTCTTTTTTGGGGTAACCCACATTTATTCATCATTTATTTCAACATTACATTTTGTACAATAAAATTATATTTATTAATAATCACTTTATTGGACAAAAGAATGTACAAAAGGAGACAATAAAAAAAAATAAAAAATAACAAGAACATGGGCCAGGACGTGACACCACGCAGGTTAAAATAAACATACATTTTGTTTTAAACACATATAAAGAGAATATTAAAATAAAAAAAAATAAAAACAATGAGTGAAGTAATAATTTGAAATTGAGGATTACATTGCAAAATAGCTAAAAAAAACAAAACTTTAAATTTATTAAAAACTATATTATTATTTTGAAAACTCTTATTATTATTTTTTATGACATTAAATCATCAAAAATGGCATTATTTTCAGAATGTAAGGTGGATTTATCCAAGATGGTTTGTTTTTAGCATGATTAATACTGAATAAGGAATATGATTGAAAGATTGGATGCATTGCACATTTTTCAATGGCCTTAAGTCATTTGAAATGAAGTCTCGGACAATCATATCCGGAGTTGCATATGTAATATGTCTTGTATTTAGGGGTTATATTTGTTAGATTTCTTAGCGTGAGTGGAGGGAAGGGAGCAGTGAGTTCTCTAGTGATGATCTTTTTTTAAATGTTTCCAGTAAATGACGATGTCCGGGAGATGTTGTAGTGCATTCTATTGGAAGGGTAGTTGTGCGTGGTATAGGTGCTGCTCCGGATTCAATGTCGATGTTTATCAATGGGGAGAGCTTTAACAAAATCCATGGCAAGAGTTTCAATCATATATCCAAGAACATTGCTGTGTCTCCACGTGAGGCGCCTCTGTTCAAGGGATTTGCAACAGAAAGTTGAGGACATGGTGGAGAGTTTCTCGACTGTTTCCACAATTTTGACACTTGTCTAATGTGGCAATTGCCCCATCTTATAAGGTTTACTCTTGTGTTTAGTGTGTCAACAACAAACTTTTATGACTTCAGCTGGAAGGTTGTATGCATGTGCTCTTCCAGTGGTGACATGATTCCTCCAATGACAACACGTCTAAGCTTGAACGGTGAGGCTCATCACGTGGAGATTTCAATGTTCTTGTATAGTCTTTGAGATTGTTTTAGCTGTGGTTTGAATCTTTATATGAATTATCAGGAGAGTTAGAAGCAATGAAAACATTTTCACATTCGATGGTAGTAGACGTTTAGTTCCTCGTACAGTAAGATTCAAGTTCCGCCCTGCCGTTAAGACAGGCGTTCACAAGAGGGCCACCTTTTACCGTGAAAGGTGGGCTCTGCAGTATAATATTGAAGGACACATAAGGTCAAGGCCATTGGACATGAACGCAAAGGCAATGATTCCAGGATGGGAAATTCCTTACCAGCGCTTAATAACAAATTTCTTGCACAGAAGTCGTTGACAACAAGGTGCAACCTGATGCTGGGCATAAAGTGAAAATAAAAATATGTATATTAAATTCTGAGCAAATAGGAGATGAATCAATATCTTTAAGACTATTCGAAATTAAGTTAAAAAGGTATTCAAAAACGTCAATTTCTTTGTTTTTAAAAGTATACAAAGAGAACGGAAGAATTTATTAGACATCTCCAGAGGGGATTACATCGGAACCAAGTTAAATGATATGTTCTGAGCTTTCACACGGCTAATTAAAAGGTAACATAGGACAACATTTAAAAGATCATGATATTAGTGCTACTGAAACTGTTAATTATTTAAAGGTTTTTATTTAAGTGCAAATCCAAGTTTGATTGCTTAATTAAAGAAACTGAAACCTACACTTAACAAACAAACTGATTCAGTCAAAGCCAAACTGTTTATCTAGTTAATCTGCTAAGAAGGGCTAATTATTACTTAGCTCCACTGTGGCTCCACACAGTAGGCCCTATTGATATGTAAATTAATTACTTACTTCCTATCACTGCTTGATATTTTTGTTTTTAGTTTTTTCAATTTACTTGATCTTGAGAATGGTTCCATGATGGACCCGAAACGTCGATCTTTCTTGTCATTAAAGTTTGTTTTGAAATTATATAGTAAGCGTCTCTTAATTCGTAGATCTACATTTACTTGGTAGATTAGAGGAAAATCATCTGCGAAAAGAGTGGTGATAGTTTTGGAATATTTTACAGAATATCCATGTGAAATCTCAGATTCAACATAATTGATAATTGGATCAAAACAAAGTAAAAAAAATAATGGGTGACAGTGGGTCGCCTTGAAAAATTCCTTCTAGGAAATCAAATAAATCTGAAGTCCAGTTGTTAGTTCTAACTATACCTGAAAGATTTGAGTAGAGTATATGTATTGACGGATAGTGGGATGATTGTATCTAGCAAGTGAGTAATAAATTAATAAGTTCTGAGGAACGGATCCTAATTCGAGATCGAACCATGGTAATATGAAGGATTCTTTAAGTTGAAATTTGGTCCTTGTTTTTTCATTCACTTATATTGTTTTTTTCATTTTTGTTTGTTTCTAATGTTTTATCTGCCTTATGACTTTTATTGGCCTGTTTGATTGAAATTCTTAATTTTTTCAGTTTAAGTTTCTTTGTATTGCTTTGTATTAATTATGTTATTCCAAATTTTGTTTTTGTATGCCTAGTCTTAAGTTTGTTATATTTTTGTAAATTTGGATGCACCACTTTTGTGTGTGCCACCGATCCTGATAAATTGTGTGATTGATTGATTGAATTCATCCACGCTTTCTGTGTCAGCAATTCACTTAAATAACTGTACAACTGTGATTGTTGACTTTTTAGTGATCTTTCTAGAACAGGTCTTAACTTGCAGCTTTCTGTGTTGGTAATTCACTTGAAAAACTGTACAAGTAACAGATTGTTAACTTTTTAGTTCTTTCTAGGGCAAGACTTATCTAGCATGGCATCATATTACGTTATCTTACTTTTCATTTTTATCTTTAGCTTATGACCCATCTCATCATTTCTCCACCGGATTACTCTTACAAGGTCAATTGGCAGACGAAAGCCAAGTGTCTACTAACCCCCAAAGGAGCAGTAGAAAAACAAAACCCATGAAAATAACAGCTGAATGTTTATAGCGTCCTCATCGGATTGAGAGCGTAAACTTAAGTCGTTTTACAGAATCAATAAGCTCATCATTTTTGAATAGCCAGTCGGTTGATTAGTGTTTCTTTGATCTTGACGAGCTTATAATACTTCATTCATGCAAAGTAAACACTAAACGTAATTTAATTATAAGCCTACATGGCGATGAAATTATAATTTACAGCATGCATAACACTGCGTATATAATTTATATTTCTTTATTTACAAATTATTGACATAATTGATCTATACTCATGAGGCCGGAACTAAGCACAGTATACATATCATTCTAAAAATATAAATTTACAGTTTTTTTTAAATTAAAAGCGTTAACACATTTAGCCATTTTTACTCTTGGTTTTTTTAAATCTTTACATGTATATTTAATCTCACTTGATATATTTACTAATATAAGTGGCACCGACTATTGTGTTTCTGAGTTAGGTATCCGTTAATTAAATGCATAATTTATCAATAGTTACGACCACTTATTTATCCTTGAACTAAATATTATTTTTATCACTATGTATATGATGAGCTTTGTAACCTGGTATTTACATTGTCAGGTTGTATAGGAATACAATAAAGTGGGCCAAATGTACAACCTAGGC